CCCCAGGGTCTCCCTTCTTCAGGGCCCGGAGGGTTGGGAGTACTTCACTCATGAGGGCAGTGTGTCCTACTGAAGCAAGCGAGCCGTTCCCCTCCTCATCCCTATCCTCAGTGGGGTTGGGGTTAGTGGGATCAACTGCTGTGGGTACCGCTGCCCTAGTCCGAGGAGAGGCCAGTTACCAGGAACTTAGTGCTCAGATCAATGCAGACCTCAGTCAGTCATCTGGAGCACTCTATATCCCAACTGGAGAGACAGGTCAACTCCTTGGCAGAGATGGTTCTGCAGAACCGGAGGGGTTTGGACTTATTGTTTCTCAGGCAAGGCGGCCTTTGTGCCGCCCTAGGGGAGGCCTGCTGTTTCTACCAATAACTCAGGTGTAGTTCAGGAGAGCCTTTCCCTAGTACAGAAAAATATTGCAGACAGGCAGAGGGAACGAGAAGGGAACGAAAATTGGTACCAGAGCCTGTTTCAGACTTCCCCATGGTTAACCATTCTTATTTCTGCCTTAGCCGGGCCTTTGCTCCTCCTTACTATAGCCCTAATTCTTGGTCCTTGTCTAGTTAATCAGCAACTTGACTTTGTTAGATCCCTTATTAATTTAGTTAAGTTACTGTTGGTTAGAGATCCCCGTTATCAGACCCTGGCATCTGCCTTCTTTGCACCCTACAATGAGGCAGCCCCCACCACGTCAAGGGTTTGACGTGGTACACAAAAGAAGTGGGGAATGTAATGCAGAACATTATTTTACCAGGTAGTAGAACCCTTTAGGCCATGGAAACCTCCAAATTCCTTAGCAAGATCCTTATCTGGCTGCTCAGGCCACAGCCCTCAGATCATATCTCTGGAAGCCTCCATTATGAGAAAGTTTGCAGAGCATTATCATATCTAGATAGAGGGAGAGGGGTGTCCTTGACCAGCTCAAAAAAAAAAACCCAAAAAACTCTTTCTCTTGCCTGACTTCTAAGATCCATCCCCATCCCTGTCCTATATACTCCCTATATAAACCCTGGCTTGACCCCTGATGGGTGCTGCTTGATTTGGATGTGAATATCCCTGGCAGCCGCGCTAATATAATAAAGTCCACAGTTTAAAATTAGCCTGGGTGGTCAACTCGCTAATTTCTCGGTATAACACCAGCAGCTGCTGCTTGGAGCCCTCCCGCGAGGGAGGAGGCATCTCCCACCTCCTGGTGTAGCCCATTCCCAGCCCGACCAGTCCTCGTTGTCCCATCCAGCCTCAGTGCTCCTCTTTGCCCCTTCCAGCTCTGCCCCTGGCTCTGGCTCTGAGGCCAGGCAGACCCAGTGAGATCCCTCTTCTGCAGGACACCTCTCAGATCCTTGAACCCTTCCCCTTCCTCTCCCCCCCCCAACACGTGCCCCCAGGCCCTCCAAACAATTCTGATGGAGCATGGCCTTGAGGCCCATCAGCTTTCGATGCTCAGACTTTCTGTCCTTTAGTTAAAAATCAATCTTTATTGACATCTTTTGAAGCACTGACATTTCCCAGGGTCTGTATATTGTTTCATCTCACTCCCTCCTAAGATGTGGGGCCTGGAAATGAGCCCCCTCCAACAGGCGGGGTCAGATGGAGGGTAAATGAAGCAGGGCTCCCCAGCCTGTCTCACCGGGATACAGCTGGGGCCCCAGAGAAGCCCCAGACCCCCTCACTGCTCCTCACCCTGCCCATGCCCTGGGAGCTTTGAATCCACTTCCAGATGAACCTGACCTCATCCTTCCCACCTGGTCCAGGCAAGGTCAGGCTTTGGTGGGCAAGTTTATGCCTGGGCATATGTTATCTAGTCAACGTCAGCTCTAGCCTAAAACAAAGCCTTAATAATAGATAATAATAACAGATAAGTAGCCTAGTGTTCACGATCCTCCTCAGCAAAGCTGATGAGCCTGTCGGGTCTGCCCCTCTCCAAGTCACAGATACAACTGTTCAGTGCCACAGGGCCAAGCACAGATCCCTGTGGTGCTCCACTGGAGACCCCCTGCCAGGCTGACAGGATCATAGAGTCCTGAAAGGGACTCAGAAGCCATCGAGTCCAAGTCAAGTGACTTATCCAAGGTCACAGAGGCAGTGAGTGTCAGAGGTGTGATCTGAACCCAAGTCTTCCTGACTCCAAGCCCAGCTGCCCTCAGCTGGCCGTGCTCTAGAGGGAGGGCTGGGCTTCGAGTCTGGAAGACTCTTCTTGGTGAGTTCAGTTCTGGCCTCAGACACTGACTAGCTGTGTGACCCTGGGCAAGTCACTGCGCCCTGTTGGCCTCAGTTTCCTTACCTGTAAAATGAGCTGGAGATGAAATGGCAAAGCACTCGAGTGTCTCTGGGTCACGAAGAGTCAGACATGACTGAAAAATGACTGAACACTGAATGCACTAGGCTGTGTCAGCCCCCCAGTACAACAAGAGGACAACATGCAGCAAGCAGCACAAGCCCACCGCGATGGGCGTGTGTTTGCCTGGCTGAGTCAGGAATGTATAGAATGTATGTGATGAGGACGGCTGTGGGAGGGAAGCAGGCGGGCAGCCCAGCTTGAGAGCGGTCCCTCGTAGGTCCCAAAGGGGAGTACTCAGCCTCCCAGAGGCCATGGGCTGCTCTGCTCACAAACGGTCAGGGGCTCCAGGCTTCCACCCTCTGACTCCAGCCTGTCCGCATGAGTGCATCTAAGAGCTCACCTCCTTCCCCTCGCGCCTTCCAACAGAACCCACGCTCTTCCCCGTTCTCACCCTGTGTTCTTTGCTCCATGTCTCTGTTCACCATCACCGGGGCTGGAAGGGACTCTCCCCATCTCTGCCCACGGAGGTCCTTCCCAGACCTCAAGGACCAGCTGAGATTGCGCCTTGTCCCAGATCCCTCTGTGGCCACTATGACAGCCTGACGGCCTGTTCAATCCGTATTTGGGAAGGGATGACAAGATGCTTGGTGGCTCAAGAAAGACTTTTGGGTTACGTGACTACGGGCATTTACTGAAAGCAGACAAGACCTGGGAGAAGACAGCAGTGCTGAAGTCCAGTGCCCTGGAGTGACTGCGGTGGGGGGGGCATAGCCAGCCCCGATGGCCAGCGGCACGGTGGCACGGTGGCCATCACCCCAACACTGAGCCAGCCCCACAGGAGAGCTACGTGGAAAAACAGGTGCCTCAGCACCCAGCCAGCCTCACGCTGGACACAGCAGGCTGGGGAGAAGCTGGGTTGGGGGACGCGACAGTGTATCTGCAGGCAATCTCAACAAGCCAACTTCTAGGAAACAGAAAAGGCCCACGGTGCAGGCGAGAGCTCCTGAGGATCATCCTGCCGGGACCCAGATGGTATACACGCACCTTGGCTCCCTCATAGCTCGGCAGCCCTCCCACCAGAGGCGCTCCGTGAACACCCCAGCCCAGACCAGTGAGAAGAATGAGTTGAAATAGGAAGCTATGAGATGACACCGATTCCTCCCCAAGGACTCCTCTCTAGAGGCTGCTGGGGGTGCGAGGTTCGGGGAGGAAGCACAAGGTCATGGTGGGGTTGGGCAGAGCTCCAGAACCCCAGAAGAGTGGCCTTCCCAGAAAGAGCTTCTCAGCATTCCAGGATTTCTGTGCAGGGGCCAGGGCATCAGGACTCTGTCCAGTATACCTCAAAGAGCACTCCGAAGGGCTCAGAGCAACGACATGTAGGACCTCATGACCAACACTTATCAAGGGGAAGTTGGCCCACAGAAAGGGAAGCCCTCAAGAGAGCACCTCTGGAGACGAGAAGAGAAACAATTCTGAGGCGCACAAAAAGGAGCATCGTCTCAAGAGGCAGTGCACGCACAGGGAACTCTCTGGTCATCACAGGTTTCTAAAGGCCTGTCCCAAAGACAGAAACAGGGGTAGGTACAAACACACACAGTTTTTAGAGTCAGGATAAGCTTAGAATGAGCTGAGGCTGGTGAAGAAAATGAAGGACAACAGTAAAAAACAAGCAGCTTTCTGGCTCTACTGTGAAAATGGGAAGTTGGAGGAAGGCCTAGAACGTTGGCACCAACAGGGACGGCGCTGGCCAGCTACACAGCTGAGAAGGCCTGGGTGGGGTAGGGGAGGACCACCAGATGCAGAGGCCCTCGACCGACAGGCTCAAGGTCCAGCGTCGGCAATAGCTCACAGGGCTTGGGCAGCTTACCCTCTCTGGGCCCCAAGCGTCCTCCTGCTCTAAGGCTGCGATGATACCACCAGAAAGAAGGCAGGGACGCCCAGCACATGTGTCTTTTGTTTTTACTCCTGAGGAGAATGCCTTCTACATTGAAACACAGAGAAGAAAAATGGCCTTCCCCAGAGGAGCTGATGCCTGGGACATGTGAGCACCTCCTGGCCCACTATCCACGCCAGGCTGCCGAGAGGACTGGCATCGCTGGGCTACTCTCAGTGGTCTGGGAGAGATCCTGAAGAGCACGACCAGTACTACAGGACTGAAGAAAGGACTTGAAGAAAAGGAAGACAATGGAATCTGTAGCCTGCACAGGCCAATGAGCCTGACTTGTATTACTTGCACAATGGCAGAGTGGTGGCCTAGGGGATAGAGCGCTGGGCCCAGAGTCAGGAAGACCCAAGTTCAAATCCTGCCTCAGACTTATCAGCTGTGAGACCCTGGGCAAGTCATCTAACTTCTAGTTGCCTTAATCCACCGGAAAAGGAAATGGCAAACCCCTCCAGTCCCTCTGCCAAGAAAATCCCACATATGGTGCGTGGGGTCACAAATAGTCGGACACGGCTGAACAACAACAACGACGTAAAGGGGTGCTGGGTGAATGCCTCGACAAGGAAGCGGTCATCCCAAGAGCTTCAGGAGCAAGTCGGGCGCCTCCCGCTGCTTCTCTGACCAGGAGGTCTGCGGAGCACGCCGGTACAGACATGTGTCAACAAAGCAGGCTACGCCCTACGCTTGCAGAGAAGACAGAGAAAGGCAGGCCACCCGTCAGACAGCGAGGTGGGCTCCTGTGTGCCACAGCCCGCTCGCGCGCCCCCGGCCCCTCTGCCCTACCTGGCCTGGCCAGGCGGAGGAGGGAGATGTACACGTCCTGGCAGTCTCGCTCCTGAGGGACCACGAGGCGCAGCACCTGGAAATTCTTGCATCGGATAAGCAGCGGGCAGCCCCCCGCCGTCGTCGCCTGCTTCTCGATGGAGGAGATCTCGCTGTGCAGGATCTGGAATGCACAAGCACAGGTTAGGCCAAGCGCAGGGCCAACAACAGGAAAGGCTCGGTCAGCACTCGCTGCTTTTTTGGGGAAACACTGTCCCAGTTTCCAGTTGGCTTCTCCTGCCCTTTCACTCATTCTTATCCCCACCCTGGGGGCTCAGACACAGCTGGGTGATCCAGGCACTTCTGGGTCTCAGTTTCTACATCTGTAAAATGGGTGGCTTAGACTAGACGGCTTCTAAGGTCTACCCCAGCCCTAGATCTAGGGTCCCATGAGTCAGGGCTAGGGGAAGGTTCGACGCAGGCCGGCGGGCCATGACGTTCCAGGGGCCGCTGCGGGATGTGCTCCATGGATAACCCCAAAGTTTGAGACTATTTAGAATGAGCTCTCAGCAAAATCCAATCTCTTGAGGCAGTGATCTCCAAAGAAAGAACAGCCCACATGGTCCCTATGACATCTAGAGTTACAGGACAGGTCTGGCAGAGAGGGGACCGCTTCTTCATTAGCCTTCTGGGGAGCAGGAGGAGGCTCTGAATCGCAGGCTGGCGTTGCAAGCCTTGGGGAGATGGTCTAGGACTCAGTGGGAAAGGGGGGACCCACCCCAACGTCTGAGGGTTTCCTTGACGGTAACCTCAGTCTTCCTTTGGGGGAGGCAGAGGGAAGCCATGGGCTGGTACGTTCTCCTGTGAGATCTAAGCATATCGGTCATACTCCGTGGTGAAGGCTGCCCCGTGCCTAATACCCGAAGTGTGCCCCGGGGCCTTGGAGGAGATGGGGACCCTGCTAACCACTGAAACATGAGCCATCTCTAGGCTGGGTTTGGGAGGTCCTCTTGAATGAACTCCATTTGGGGGGCAGCGAGCCAAAGATGGAGACTGACCCCGGTCAGTTTTCTAGCCCCCAGAGATCAGACCCAATGTGTGTGGGCCCAGAGTTCCTTGGGTGCGAGAGATCCTGAACCACTGGGGACATCACAATAAAGAAACCCTATCAGTGAGAGGGCATGATGGCTCCCAGGAGAGGCGGACCACAGGATCTCGGTGATGGTCCAGGCCAAAAGCCACTCGGACTTTCTGTCCTCTCCACTGTTGGTGGCCGGGAGATCTGAAGACTGGAGGGGAGGAGCAGCCCACCGTCGGCCTATTCTAGAACTCCTAGGAGAAACTGAATCTGTATTCGAGGTTCTCCTCCAGGTAAGCCTCCTGGGAAGAGATCCACTGGGGCCATGCCACAGGACTCTGATAGACCTGTGGACTCTGTGTTCTAGTGCCAATGCCGTGACTGGCTGGCTGCAGGCCTCTGCTGGCACCAAGCATCACCGAGGCTTGCCATAAACACGTTTTCCTTGGTTGAAGGAGTGTACTCACCATTTTTTCTTTATCACTGCATTCATCTTTTTTTTTCCCTCTCAGAAATGAGGAAGCATATAGGGTTGAAATGGCCCATTTTCTAGACTTCTGGGAACAAACAGCCTGGCAGGCCTTGGCTGCTAGGGCCGTGCTGTGAGTCCTTAGCCAGTGACAGGGTCTTGAGTAGAAGGGCACGATAGGATGGCAGACCTACAGAAGCCCCCAAGCCTAACCCTCCCTCATCTCACAGGTCATCGGGTCCAAAGACCACAGAGAAGTCATGTGACCCATGGTAAGCAGCTGGGCAGCATTTGAACCCAAACCCTCTGACTCCAAATCCTTTCCCCTGAACCTGTGGCTACTCCTTGCTGCCATGCTCTGTCCAGTGCATGCCCTCCAGCCTCTTGGGAAGGTCTCCAATCTCACTTAACCAGAAGTGCCATGTTTTCAGTGCTGTTTGAGGATGAGTTTCCAGGAAACTTGAGAAGCACCCAAGTCTTTGGCCAAGTCTCCCGTGGGCATCCAGAAGACGACAAGACCAGACGTTATCGCTGGTTCACAACCCTCCCCACACCCACCCCTGAAATGGAAATGGCAAATGCTAACAAAACACGCTATGAATAATAACGCCCAACGTCCTCACCCAGGTCTCTTTTCTGGTTTCAGGCACATTCTCCACAAAGATGACGTGAGAGGCTGTCAGATACAAAGTCCCCAGGGCTGGTTTTTTGGAAGATGTTCGATCCATCAGACGGACATTCTCTACCTGAACAGAGAGATCCATTTCTTAGAGTCAGAACTCTGAATGGAGCGTCTGGGACAAAGGGCGTCATTAAGACAAACGCAAGGCCAAATATTCATCATCTGATATTCCCCCCAACGCGCTGCACCCCAAGAACTGCTCAGACGACAACAGCCCAGGGCTTTCCCCATGGAGCGTCAATGTCCGTCTTTACCTACGTTCACTGGGCCCCGCCAGGCCATTGGTGCTCAGACCTTCCCTCAGAGACCAGCCCGGCTTTACCCTGTACGCATCTTGTCTGAACACGGCTGTTTGCACGTTGCCTTCTCCCTCACACTGTGAATTCTGCAGGGCAGGAAATATCTCTTGCCTTTCTCTGCACCCCAGCGCTGGCACGCGTCTGGCACACAGCAAGTGCTCACTGAATGCTGGCTGACTGAGGGCCCGGGTGCTCTGCCACGAAAGGACCTCGGTCCTTCACCATCATAGGAGCCAGCGAGCATCCACAGAGCCCTATTCGTAGGCACCTCTGCACATTGGCCCAGGCTTCTCCCGCACTTGGGACCGGCTTGGTTCTTGTCACCCACCCCGAGCTTTCTCTGCATTCAAGGCTTGGCTTGCTTACCCCCTCCAGGCAGCCTGCTCTCCCCTTCTGCACATATTCCAGGAACCATCTGCTCTCTCTACCTGCCCGGCACACTCTGCCTGGTGTCTCACTGGCTTGAGCCTCCTCCCCCAGCCCTCCATGAGACTCTAAGGCCCTGCAGGGCAGGCATTGCGCTAATGTCCATCGCTGTGCTCCTAGGACCAGCACAGAGCCAAAAACAGATGTTTAGACACACTGGCACATGTCATGCCCAGCCCCTCCTCCCTTTGCAGCTCCTCACACCTCCCCTCCCCCCACGTCCTCTCCGATCCAGCGACACCAGCCCCCTGGCTGCCCCACCAACGAGCCCCTCCATCTCTCAGTGCCGGGCATTTTCTCCAGCCATCCTCCTGGCCTGGAATGCCCTCCATCCTCATCTCTGCCTCCTGGCTCCTTCAAGGCCCACCTAAAACTCCCCCTTCCGCACAAAGTTCCCTTAAACCCGGCGCCTTCACTCTGAGGTTCTCTCCAATTTGTCCTGTCTGTGGTTTGGGCTTCCGTGGCACATTAGGCTGGCCGCTGCTGTCTTTTGTCTTTCCTGTGTCTCCGGTGCTTAGCACAGTGCCTGGCACACAGTAGGTGCTTTGTGGATGCTCCTGATTTGCTGCTGACATGGTGGATTTTCAGGATCTCTGCTGGCGTTCCTTTGTCACACTGCCCTCGGCGGCGAGGGGTCAGGGCTCAGTCCTGCCAGCCAGAAGCAGGCCCCACAGAGAGCTTCCCCCAGGCTCCCTCCATGGGGGCTTGGGACCAGAGAAATCAGAAAGGTCTCTCAAAGGTCCTGTTAAGAGGGCTCAGCCCCTACGCAGAGAGAAAGCAAGCCTTCGTTAAGTGCCCACTACGTGCCAGGGAGCACGTGAGGGCAGAGGTCAGGGCATAACCTGAGGTCCAGAGAGGGGGGAGGATGTGCAGGAGCTCATTTGGTTGGTACAAGAATCCAGGACTTAGAGCCAGACAGGACCGATCCTGGCATTTTACAGATGAGAAAACTGAGGCCCAGAGATGGGGGTAATCTTTCCAAGTAAGCAAGCGGCAGAGCCTGGCCTTCACCCCACGTCCTCTGATTCCAAGTCATGGGCTCTGTCTGCTGTCCCACACGGCTGCTAGGTTGAATGAAACTAATTTCTGAATGGCCTAAAAAGAATGAACCAAGGAAATGGCCCACAAAACCAGGAAAGGTCAGAGTGGATTAGCCTCACTACCAGATATAATTACTACAAAGTGGTAATTATCAAATGAGCCCAGTACTGGACAAACAAAGAGACGGACCAGCAGAGGAGAGGAGTGAAATAAGAGCTAAAAACAAGTGAGCATAATAGCCAAGTGTCTGATGAACCAGAGGACACACCAGCCCGGCCAGAAGATTCCTTGTGGATGAGAACGGCTGGGGAGACTGGCTGGCTGTTTGGCCAGAGAGAGTCTAGGCCACCATCTTGTAACTTAAGAGTAAATTCCAAATGGACAAAGTCAAACTATGGAAAAAAAGTAAGAGAAGAATGGACGGTCTTATCTTTTACAGTTATGGATAGAGAGAAAATCAGTAAGCTGATGAGTCCTATAGAAGAGATCAAATGAGACAAAAAAGGACATCTTGATTATTTAAATTTTAAAATTGGCACAACTAAAATCAGTGCAGCCGGATCTAAAACAAAGCATATGGGCTAGAGAAAGTCTGAATCAATAGGAAATAAAAACAAATATGTAAGATTAAAGCTATTTTCCAGTAGATACAGATAAAGATACAGTTTTCAAAAGAAATACAAAATATCAATAACCACTTAAACATGGTCAAAATCACTACTAATCAGAGAAAGGCAAATTAAATCAATTCTGAGGGATCCATCGAGCTCCAAGAGATACAAGAGACACAAGAACCCATTGGTGGAAACATTGCAGAAATACAGGCCTGATGATTCCCTGATAGTAGACTTACAAAGTGGTTCAACCATCAGGAAAAATTCCTCAAGTGGTCATGCTCTTTGACTCAGCGTTTCCACTCCCAGTGCCATACTCCAAGGAGAGTCCTGCTGACAGACAGCAAAGAAGACCATCATGGTCCAAATGGTCATGGCGCCATTACTGGTGAGCGCAAAGAGCTATAGAGAGAATGTAAGCGCTGTGACTGGGGGATGGCTGACTAGATCACAGCAACATGAGTGAGAGAGGCTGCTTCTGTGCCAGAAGGGAGAGTCAATGCACAGAATTCAGAGAACCATGGGAAGACTCGTAGGGAACGATGCTGAATGAAGAAGGCGGCACCAATGGGCCCGCTCACCACAACGATGCAAACAAAAGCAACCCAACGAATCCAGTTAAAGACAATGAGCAGGACTGGTATGACGATGAAAGCTAAGGCAGAAGAACAATGAAGCAGCCTGGTCCAAGCAGCCGGTGTTCATGCCAGCATGCCTGAGTGAAAGGACACGTCCGTCACACCCTCCTCTCTTCCCCAGAGATCCTGAGCTCCCTTCTGCCTCAGCACAGGGGCTGCCTCCTCTAGGAAGCCCCACCTGATTCCCACAGTCCGGATCTTCCTCAGATCACCCAGCGCTGCACTCACTGATGTGCTTGAATCCCCCAGAATTTTTCTTTCCTTTTCTTTCTACTCCCAGTGCAGTCAAACAGAGAGATCTGTGGGCCCAGTGGTAGAATTCTCACCTCCCATGTTGGAGACCCAGGTTCAATTCCCAGCCAGTGTAAGAGCATGTGGGGTGGCAAGATGGTACAGTGGATAGAGTACCAGGCCTAGAGTCAGGATGCCTCCTCTTCCTGAGTTCAAATCTGGCCTTAGATACTTAGTAGCTGGGTGAGCTGGCCCGTTTGCCTCAGTTTCCTCATTTGCCAAATGAGCTGGAGAAGGAAATGGCAAACCACTGCAGTATCTTAACGTGGGGTCACGGAGAGCTGAACATGACTGAAATGACTGAAGAAGAAGAACAAGCACGGCGAAGGTGCCTTCATGTGGCCCCTGCCCTACGCTGGGCAGCTGCTCATCATTTTTCCAGGGGATACACAAGGGTTTATTTGAGATTTGTTGGAAAGGAGCTGTTCTGCTCACACAAAATGGATCGAGAGAGAAGACACGGGAGGCAGATCTGCAGACGCCTCTGTGGGATGGGATACCTTGGTATCTGGAGGGGCAGCTGGAAATGGAATCGGATTTTTCCACGGCTTCGCATCAAGCCTGGAGGCTGTGGGTGGAAAACTGCTCTGCAGAATTTGGCAGCGCCCAGCAGATTCCCAAGTCTTCAGTCCTTCGGGAGCCCAGCTGTCAGGGGCCTTGTTGAAGGGAGAGGAAAGGGACGGAAAGCCATGAAGGGAAACACCGAGGGCAGCCAGCATGGAGACCAACGCACTGACTTTCAGTGAAGAAATGTGACTTTCCCAGCCACACGTGATCATGCAAGAAATCAGGAATGAAGAGGTCACTTCTTATTTTAAGAACAATGCTCAGCGATGGGGGCTGGGCTCCTACGTGTGGGCAGAGAGGCCCCGAGGCTGCAGGCTAGAATGGGGGAGCCATTCCACACACAGGAGGTCTACACCGAATCCAGGCTCCCCTGGGGGTCGTGGGGGAAAGCCTTTGATTAGTCTGACTCCCCTAAAGGGGAAGAGAAAACCACAGTGCTGCCTCTACTTACCCAGAAGGCTCTACATCTTTAAAAAGTCCTAGGCCCCTCCTCAGTGCCTAGGACCGTGCTCAGCACATCCAACATCTGATTGATAAGCATAATAGCCAGCATTTACTGAGCATTGTAAGGTTAGCAAAGCACTTCATATGTGCGATCTAGGTCGGGCTTCACAACAACAACAATAATAATGATAACAGCACTTGCAGAGTATTCTAAGGTTTGAAAAGCACTTTTCAGGGTCTTACTTTTTCCTGCCACAGCCCTTGAAGACAGGTACTATTATCATTCCCATTTTACAGAGGAGGAAACTGAGGTTGAGCGGTGAGATGATTTGTCCAGGGTCACACAGCTGTCTGCTTTGTAAGTGTCTGAGGCAGAATTTGAACTCAGGGCTTCCAGACTCCAAGTTCACATGTTCTACGCATGGCCCCCACAGAGATCATCAGAGAGGGGAAAGCAGTGGAGACCAGGCAGGTGTTTGAAGCACTTTCTGGTCAGCAGCGAGACACTTCCTGTTCCTGTAACCAAAGTAGGTAAGCTGGCTCAGATCTGGCCCCGTGGCCTTGTGCCATTTTGAGGGCCACACAGATCCTGGTTCTGTCCTCCTCCTGGGAGGGGATCCTGGGTGAGATCTCCACAGCTCTGCGCCTGTCCCACCAGGCTGGAAAAGGTTCCAGGCCCGGGCTGGCCAGGGACAGACTACACGTGCCTGGTACCCAAAGATCAGCCGAGGCATGTGAGCTAAG